CTCTAGTTTTGAAAGAGAGTCCTAACATTGTCCTCTATTTTCTACAGAATTAGATAGGAGGTGAGTGCCATTTTCGAAATTGCGTTTTGGGTATGCAGTTCATGTTAAGTAGTAGATATATCTTCGCTCGCATGATGTAGAATTTCTGTTTTTAACTTTATATTTTCAAACTCAGCTGAGTGAAATAGTTCGTACATCGAGGAGTACTCAATTAAAACATACATAGCACAAAGCTTGCATCAGCACGGGAACAAGTGCAAATTTTCATCAAACCGAAGCAAATAAAAGATTTTAATATCTCCCAGTTTCTGCAGGAACTTCAAGATGCTCAACACGACTCAACCTTATCTATTTTAGTTTTACATGATTAGTTGCCAGACTTATATTACCCGCTCGCTAAACGAGGCATAAGTTTTTTTCAACTAAATGTCTTTAAAATTTGTGAGCTGTGTTTTAAATATCAGGTCCCGGTGGGTCAAACATTGGACAGCGCTATCCACTAGATAAATCAATATCCAGCAGATAGGTATTAGGGAAAGCAATTGCGTTATCAACCTGGACCCTGATAAGCTATACAGCCACGATAAGCACCTAATAAAGAACAGTCCCTGCAGTGTGATGCAACAATGAAAAATCTGTGCTGTAAAAACAGACCTTGTCGAATTACGGGAAAAAAGCCTTATATTTCTCCCATTCACCCCCTCAATTCTTAAAATTACGATAACTGTTGAAATTTTCGCGCCCTCCTCGCCCTGGCATTGTCGTGGATGATAATGGCGCGATGATGGCGCAAACAGGCAAACGTCTTCTGTCAGGCGTTCAAAAATTGCAATCGAATGGGGTCTGCGGAGAATCGTTTAAAAATTTAATTTCCTTTCACCAATTTTTTCTGGCTCCGTTTTCAGGCAAAATTATAACCAGCACAAAGTGAGTTTGTACAGTTCTATACGTTTTTAATCCATAATCGAAGTTTGATCGACAAAACCTCCGTAAAAACTGAAATCTTAAACCATGACGGCGTCCTTAATTATAACGGAAGGTAAACACGGTCTTGCTTTTTTTAAGAGCTGTTAAATAAGAGGCCGATTATTTTAAGTCAAGTTGGGCACTTTATTTTTCTCTACAGGAATTTCTCATCTTGTTTGACTTTCGAAACTTCTGAAATAAACGAAAAGAGTCACTCATTATCTCCCGTCTAGGTATAATTAATTCTATTTATATAATAAGTGACTTCTAAAACTGAGATGAAAGGTGATGTTAGAGAAATTGTAACATGTTTCTGAAATCTTCAAGGCTGTTTAGTACATTTTAATTGTTTTTAAAAAATAATTTAAACTAACACGTTTGCTAGAGTTCACCTATTTTGCAAAAGAAAAAGACACCTTCAACACAGCTATTATGCATCATTGAACATATTTCGCGGAAAAACAGGAAGTCTAAGGGACTTTCCCTGCGAAATGATTAATCAATTACCATTGTTAAATTATTCTTCCGCGCCGGAAAAACCTACTGTATTCAGTCACACCCGTTGAGAAAGGTTACACGAAAAATACACCTTCAACAGAGCTATTATGCATCATTGAACATATTTCGCGGAAAAACAGGAAGTCTAAGGGACTTTCCCTGCGAAATGATTAATCAATTACCATTGTTAAATTATTCTTCCGCGCCGGAAAAACCTACTGTATTCAGTCACACCCGTTGAGAAAGGTTACACGACAAATACCCGATAAAAAATACATCAGAATATTTAGAAGTAAAATATATATACCGAGACGCGATGCGTATAGGTATATATCTAGCGCTGTTCGCCGACCCTGAGGGCCAAATCAGTTGGATAAAAATAAAAAAAAGTGATATAACTTTTTGTAAATTAAAAACGTCACTCAGAAGGAACGTAATTTACAATTTACAAACATTTCGGGGATTTTGTCGACTGCATTTTTACGTTTTTGTTGCAAATTCAGCATGACAATAATTTTCTACCTACCAGTAAACACCGACAAGCCAAAGTTCGTCGCTTTATTGGTATTTGTTTGTACGACTGCTTCATTTATCGCTCAAGTTTCGTCTTTCGAAAATGTCTCGAAACGAGACGCCGTCTTGGCTCCGGTCGCAAAACAGTGAATAGCCAAGGATATTCCGAATTACGGGAGCCAATCAAACCGCTCGAATATTGCTACCCACTGATTTGGTAAATACTAATAGATAATATTTAAAAAAATATGAGCTAAATAGTGACACACACAGACACCCACCCACGGCCTTAAGACATTGTTGGACCGAGTTGGCAGATATGAGTAAACTTTTTAAGAAAAGATAACCAATACCAAAGCCAGGAAAAAGTATAAATTATAGAATACCAGCTCTAGGGCTAAGGATTCAGATTTACATTCAGTGGAATGCCGGTTAAACGTGTTGATTCAATTAAGAAATATAAGAAAGGGTTTGGAATAAATGTTGTGGTTCAAGCCAATATGCTTGGGGTAATTTCATTTGCCATTGTTTCAAGCTAACTATTATACATTACCATACCCAAAAACAATAGATCCACAACATACAAATGTAAATAGTGAAAAGTAGAGTTACTAAATACGTGTAAACGGCAAAAAAGGAAACCTTCCAGAAACAATCAACTGCAGGTAAAATAGCCATTAAAATGGTTATTTATTTTAGCATTAAAACTCAAACACATTTAACTAAAAAATCCAGCATCAATGCACTTTTTCATTGTGTTTAAGCGGTTGCTATTTTCAGTATTATTTCGAATAATATCATAGGTGACGAATTACTTGTTAATTTGTATAGGTAATAGCATGATTTGTAGTGATATTTGGCATGAATACCACGAGTGATATTTCGAAATTGTTTTACGAAATTACACGAGCCGTTAGGCGAGTGAAATTTGCGATAATTTTGAAATATCACGAGTGGTATTTATGCCAAATATCACGTGCACATCATGCTATTATTTGTTTATACCACTACCCACACAAGGTTTGTAATTTTCACATGTAGGTATTTCAAATTAAGATGAAATACCACTGCTCTAAACCAATCAAATTGCAGAAATTTCTCATGTAGTAGAATAATGGCGCGAAATTTCAGCGTTAATTTGTAATTTCACATGTGAAATTACTAAATTGCCATGGCAACCTGCCGTACCTCTCCGTTTCAAGATGGCGACGAAGTTTTAAAATGTCATGAATGAAGATGTCCGGGCATAGAAAGAAGCTATAGAAGACCTGAACACACGAAAGAGCACATCAAGAAGGATTCTTAGAGGTATGTGGTCGAGAAATTCCGAAAACTTAAGCCAAATTTCAGCTCTAAATGTTTGAGAGAGTGGAGTTCACGATCGATCGATGCGATCCAGGATAAACAAGTCAAAAATCCTCGATTGCTAAGGTAATTCGTCACCCATGATATTAATAGGTAATCAAATGGTATACTCGTGAAATTAGGGAATAATTTCACTCGTCACCATTTGATTACACATACTAATTACCTACTATTTTATTTAAATTGTCACAATAATGGTTCTAGACAATAGAAAGATGCATTAAATGGGATAATAGATAATAGATAAGTTTAAGGATCAGTTAATTTTCAGTCTTAAATTGAGAAAACCTTGCAGAATATATCCAATACAGTGTTTCACTCACGAGGCCAGCAGCTATACAATTTTGGTACACCAAAGTGACTCCCGGTTAATTGTTTTGGGACACCAAACTTCAAGGGGTTTAAGGCCTGGGTCAAAGATGTGTTCAGAGCATATGATTGATTCATGAGTGGCATTATCTCTCGCTAGGACACCTAGAACAAAATGAAATTTTCCCCAAAAGTAAATTATGAGGTCTTCTTGTGTCTCAACGTTTAGTTATGGTAACGTGACATTTCACGTGACCAAAGATTGAAAATGAAGGAAATTGGCGAATTGGTGGCGAATTTACTTTGTTTGGATAAACAAACTGGCTTTTCTGATAGAGCATAGACATACCTAAATGTCTACGTTTGGAATGAATGTACGCGAAGTTTTAAAATTAAGGTTTTAAATAATTCAAGGTTAAATTCGGTGATGTTTTCCCTCACATTTTTTATTGAAGTGCGATCAAACGTGAAGTTTTAGAAATATTTAATATGAATAAGAAAAATGTTATTGCTGGATTTCTTTTCTTAAACCCGCCACCAATTTATCAATTATTTAATATTTTTAGCTGAATGGTCACGTGACATATCACTTGACTTATAAACACAAAACGTTAAGGATGATGATTTCTCTATGTGTGTCAAATTGTAATTCAGCTCCATAATCGGTGTTGAAGTTATAGCCAATAAATCATTTTTCAAATCTAAACCTATTAGACCCAGCCCTTAAACTACACTACCCTAACTACCTTGTACTGCCTCACACAATTTTTAAATATATTGAACAAGCTTGTTTTCAATTAAAGTGAAACTAGAGACTCCCACAAAAATACGATTGCAAGGTTAAAAGGTAATGATCTCTTTACATTGCTATTACAACTTCGATCTTAACCCTATTCCGACCTGGCTTTTGTACTTCCTGCGACCGGGAACACCCCCCTGCCCCACCCTCTATATAGCTTACCGAAATATATATTGATATATTGCACTAGGCGTAGCTTGATTGACAAAATGACGTAATTTGACGTCATTCTGACGTCCTCTTGTTGAACTTATGGCAGAATCCAAATTTCCCTAAAAGTGGACATAAAGCGAAGATTAAGAAGTGGGCTAAAACATGAAAAATCTTTAGCAAAAGCAGTGATATCATGATTACACCATATATTATTAAAAAGGAACCGGAATCATCTGCCATCTTGGATCCGCCATTTTGAGTTAATTAAATGGATTCCAATTAGGAAGCAAAAAAGGGTCTTTGAACTTATCAATTGTAAAACGATATCACACTCATCGCCTATTCCTGTTATATCGGCAGAGGGATCTAACCTGAAGCATACTCTCTTATTAGGAATATGTCCAGACTTGCCGGCTCCGCGATTGCGCAGGGACCAAATGTTGGCCGAATCGATCGGTGGTCAAAGTGGAAACCAACGGATGAAAGCACACTTTGGTTATTGCTGTCAGGTGCCTCGAATCCACCAGAAAATATCGAAATTTCTAAACGAAGACCAAGAGATGACCCTGGAGATGGGAATGGCGCCTTTCTTGATGGTGTTACTCATGATTTAGCTAACATGGAGTATTTGGTTAGATCAAAGCTGTATAACACAGTCAAAGATCTCTATCTAACCAAAGACAGAGCCTTTGAACATATTACCAAACTTTTTAAAATCTGCAAGGATAAGGAAGCCGTACCCATGTTGTACTACACTGGGCATGGCGAGACTGGTACTGGCAACTGGTGTTTTGCTAATGGGACAATTAGTATCGAAGAAATTTCGAACCTGCTGCCAGTAGACTGTTTCTACCCAATGATCTTCAGCGATGCATGCTATAGTGGACACTGGGCAAATTTTTGTCTCAACAACGGAATTGAAGGTTTTGAATGTCTTGCAGCGTGTCCGGAATACTCAAACGCCTTTGATACGGCAGGTGTGTTAATTGTACATAATTCCACTTCTTTAAGGGACCAAAATGGGTTTAATCCTAACTGTCCCTTTCAATAAGTGCCTATCAAAATTCTGATGAAAGTTGACTATTTTGTACCTGTATTGCAAAACTGCGAATGTGGAATGTGCGTATTAGTTACTGTAATTTATTTATTAATTTTTTGCTCTACGTCTCAAGGTTCTTCAATCGGTGAATATTTTTATAAATTTTACACATTTCTTCAATTTCCTCTTGTAACCTTGCTAATTATTTGCATGGTCTTTTATTACAAGTGATTAATTTATAAGGCGGGTGCCCTTGTGTGCTCCTTTTTTGTGGCATCCAAGATCGTACGATAATTATATTCCGCTGATGGGTAATTCGGCAGTGAATATACTGTCTTTTCACTTTTTGCTTTGAGATTAAGACCAAAGTTAAGGTGATATTGTTAAAGTAATTATATTGAAATTTTTGAAAAATTATTGAAAACTCTAGCGAGTAATTAACAAAATATGAAACCACATGTATTAATGGTAAACTCTCAAACTGAGCTTGGGCCGCCTGCGCATATATATGTATACAACTCAGTTTACAGTTATAAAAAGGAGAATATCCCTAAAATGGGAATTAAGTTTCCCGTTAAATCTTTGTATCGATAAATCCTAAATACTAAATTGGTACATAAAAAGACGATTATCCCCCTACCACCATGTTTGTCGGTGAAAGTGGGTGATGTTTATGTTATTGGGTTAAACAGAACATTAGGGTGCGTTTCAAAGAATATAATATATTTCGCAATTGATACACGAATAGTCTGTTTTTCCTATTTCAGCCCTCTCTTTTCTGTAAGGGTTTCCGGCCTAAAAGCGGGGAAGAAAAATATAAAAAAAAGGTTTGTTTAGCTTATCTAGGTAGTTTACAGGCAATCCACTCCAATAATTCTGAAACAAATAATGCAAATAGAACATTCTAGGGTGAGGAATGGAATAGTATCCCGCCCAGTACACCCGAGTGTTCAATATTAATTAAAATTGTCATATTTATCATTTTTTGTCATACTTAGGTGAAGGTGGGGATTTGACTCTGTTTATGACCGGAAAGAAACCACGCCCAGATACAGAACCAATGTACAGTGGAGGTAATTTGCACGAATACCCAATTAGCGATGGGTATGACTTAATTGAGTATACTGATTTCATCAGCAGTTATACTATCAAATCACAAAGAATTCTAATTTCTCAGAGCATGCATAATGGCTACTTCTCTGCATGTTTTGTAACTTCTACACTTTACAGTCCAAGACCTGCGGTCACTTGGTGGATTCGTAGAGACTTTAGCTCCTTTCTTGCTTATGTGAAAAAACAATGGGAAGAGTCGATGAGAATATATTCCTTTGCATGCGATGAAAAGTTTGGTTTTGGAGCATTCCTCATGGAAAACTACGGTACAGATCAAGAAATTACAACAAATACAAACGACATCGAGAAGTTCAGGGCAGATGGTTTTATGATTACCGCGTGTGCTGCTCAGGGCTCAGACTTCTATATCATCATGACAAAAGGCACCGAGGAATATAAAGGCAAATGCCAAAAGCATTTTACCCGCGAGACATGGCCTGAGGTTCATACTAAAATAAAGAAAGGTTTCAAAAAGGGGAGAATTGTCACAGGTATATGCTACTTGACTGAGCTGGAGCAGTATTTTGTTGTGATGACAGAGATGTCACATATGCAGTGTTCCTTCTGGCAGCCAAACAGCACCAAAGAAGCATACATCAAAAGAGAAAATTGGGTCAAAGATAAAGAGAATATGGGATACTATCTTTCCATCGTCTTCACCGATCCCAATAACGACCGTATTTTATTTGTAATGACGAAGGACAAAAGGGTAAACCCTTCGAAATGTCATGCGTTTTATAGACTGAAATCTTAATTCATCGCCCAATCTTATCTGGGTGAGCTGTATATTTACGGGATTTGTATGTTACGTCTTCGGTGTGGAAAGAAATACTTCCTATACCCTGTTGTAGACAATGCGCTCGTTAGTCGTTACTGAGCCCACCCCCGTGAACCTTTAGGTTTCCAAGAAGTTCTTTAATATTTAGTTGGCATTCTCATTTTTTTCGTTAAAAATGTTTTTGCCATATGACTGCGGTGTGTATTTGGCTGTCTTCTAATACACGTGAGCTTGAAAGTTGTGATGATATTTGCAAGTTTTTAGTCCTTCTTTATGGGAGACCGCCCAACGGCCAAGGCCAGCCAATAAGGATTCCTAGGAAGTATTTCCTTTTGTCTTAATAAAAACTAAAACTTAACTCTACGTAAATTAATACATATAAAAGACTGGGAGTAAAAAAAGAATCAAAACAAACAAAAAAGCTAAGAATACTAACTTATGTTAGGACGGTGCTTCAACTAGATGTCGTAGATTTTCGGTTCTTTTATGCAGATAATTTTGATACATCCATAGTTAGTTGGAGAAAAGATGCGCCGATAACCAAAAAACGTGTTTTTACTTTTATTAGCATTAACCACAATCTGAGAGAGAGACAGGGAGAGAGAGAAAGAGAGAAATGATGTCAATATTGTTATTATAATTGTAAGAATTGACTTTGGTTAAAGAACGCATGCAATGAAAACACAATTTTGAACGTGATTAATGGAATGATTCGAAAAATTGTAGATAAGTTGTATTTTTTGATTGGAGACAACTCTGCTCGGTTAAGCTTTACAGTATTGTAGCTAATAAAATAAAGTATTTTGTATTTTAAGGTTAAAAAATTGTAAATTTTTCTAGGATTATATTAACGAAAGAAGTTGTAACAAGACTCTTTGGGTTGCTGTAAATGGACGGACTGTCAGTCTTGTCCTATATTTTTAATTGTAAGGAGCCGTTAATTGTACGGAGGGAAATTTGCGTTTCAAAATCGATTGGGCTAGCTTGTAGTGGGAAGGAAATTTACCATTTTTGCTTTGTTTTACTTTGTATTTGAGGGCAAATTCCATGTACAAGCCCCCCGGGGGGCTTATATTCGGAAGGGCGATTTAACGGAGGGTTTTTTGCGCTACAATTTTGAGGGGCTTATATTTGGAGGGGCTTATACATGGAGGGGCTTATTTTCGGAATTTTACGGTACCTCAAAGCGGACCAGAACATTCGCACAGGAACCTGGCGATAGCCAGGTTTCTGGTCACTGCGGTGAGAAAAAACATAGGGGGCTCGCTGTCCTGGTTGGCCTCATTGTCAAGCTCAGTCCCTGAGCTAACTCTCCATGGGTTTGGAAGGGGCCTCCATGTCAATCCCTAGGGGGCGGAGGGTGCTGCAAAAGCGTGGTACTGTCCGTTAGTCTTGCTCTGGGAGAGTCAGTGCACTCGTCATGTCTGCCTTTAGTTTGTCATGTCAAATTCTTTTAATGTTTGAGGCCCATTGACCAATGAAAGCATTCTCGTCAAGCAAGTGCTAGGCTGGGGGGTGGGAGTCTCAAGCATCCTCTGTCATTTAGAGCCTTCAAGCAGCTAGAGTGTATGGCCAAGTCCAGAGTGTCGTTTTGATGGACTTGATTGTTTCTTTTTGCTGATCAGGGACCAAGAAGAAGGTCACCTTAAGAGAACCATGGGTAAGAGCTGAGTTCCTCGACAATATTTACTTTAGTTGAGTCAGTTTAAACTGTGTGGCCTCCGGGAGCCCGCTGGTGCGGTTTTCATAAATCCGGCTAGATATCCATCCAAGTAATTTTGGTAGTTACGTACGGTACGTGACTACCAAAATTACTTAAATAGATATATAACCAAATTTCTTAGTGGTGGGCCTACGCTATTAACGATTGTACATACAGCTATTTCGGGAAAGGTTGTCGGAAAAAATGTGCACGCGACAATCCCGAAAGGTAATATGGGCTACGATCAATTCACTGTTCCTGGCACTGTAGCTGTCGAACCTACTTTTGTTACTTTCCTTTAGCATCCGCAAACATATATTCATAGCCTCTCGTGCCATTCTCTCAATGAGTCTTTGAAGAACAGTGAACTCAAAATCACCCGCACTATAACTTTCGGGATTGTCGCGTGCACTTTTTCCGACAACCTTTCTCGAAATAGCTGTTAAAAAGAAAAGTATATTCTCCACCGGAGGTCACCAGTTCCCTACGTTTTAGTGACCACGTGACCAAAAGAAACGGGAGGCTCTGGGTGCGAAAATTCTTCGCTAATGTCGACGCCATTAATCCGCCATTAAAGAAATCCAGTCAGCAGTGACTCAGCGAGTTTACGCGTGGTACGTTCCTCTAGTTTTGAAAGAGAGTCCTGATATTGTCCTCTATTTCCTACAGAATTAGATAGCAGGTGAGTGCCATTTTCGAAATTGCGCTTTGGGTATGCAGTTCATGTTAAGTAGTAGAAATATCTTCGCTCGCATGATGTAGGATTTCTGTTTTGAACTTTATATTTTCAAACTCAAGGTGAAATAGTAGACCATGTCATACGTTAGGTCGCTTTCTTATGCTTTACAGCAATCGGTGTTAACGTATTGAGATCAACTACCTGCGAACTGAAAACAGACTATCTTGAGGCAACTGTTTTCTTTCTTCAGCAATATCATAAAATATGCAGTATCAGCGAGTGTAAAACCCGATTGATTTTCAACGAACTGAGGTATTAAACTGAACATTTTCCACATCTACTCACTTCTGTGCCGGATCTTCAAGACAATCAACTCGACTGAAGAAATTGCCAGTTCGCTCATCGAGGAATACTAAATTAAAACATACATAGCAAAAAGATTGCATCAGCATGAGCAAGTGCAAATTTTCAGCACACCGAAGCAAGTAAAAGATTTTAACACCTCCCAGTTCTCAGAACTTCAAGATGCTCAAAACGACTCAACTTTATTTATTTTAGTTTTACATGATTAGCTGCTACACTTAAATTACCCGCTCGCTAAACGAGGTATAAGTTTTTTCAACGAAATGTCTTTAATTTGTGAGTTGTGTTCTCGGGCTGTGTTATATCAATTGGTCCCGGTTAATCAAACGTATAGTGCTATCCACTGGATAAATCACTATCCAGCAGATAGGTTTTAGGGAAAGCAATTGCGTTATCAATCTGGACCCTGATAAGCTACGTATACAGCTACGATCAGCACCTAATAAAGAACAATCCCAGCAGTGTGATGCAACAATGAAAATCTGTGCTAAAAGATCCCGACCTCGTCGAATTACGGGAAAAATGCCTTATATTTCTCCCTTTCCTGCTCAATTCTTAGAATTACAATAACTGTTGAAATTTTCGTGCGCTCCTCTCTCCGGCGTTGTCGTGGGCATAGAGAATGAAATAATGGCGCGATGATTGCGCAAACAGGCAAACGTCTTCTGTTATGCGCGCTTGATTTTCGGAGAAACTTCACTAGGCGTTCAAAAATTACAGTCGAATGGGGTCTCCAGAGAATCGTTTAAAGATTTCCTTTTATTAATTTTCTCGGGCTCCGTTTTCAGGCAAAATTAGAATCGGCGCACAGTGAGTTTGTACAGTTCTATACGTTTTTAATCCATAATCGAAGTCTGATCGACAAAACCTCTGTAAAAACTGAAATCTTAAACCATGGAGACGTCTTCATAACCGAAGGTAAACACTGTCTTAATTTTCTAAGAGCTGTAAAATAAGACGCCGGTTATTTTAAGTCAAGTTGGGTACTTTATTTTTCTCTACAGGAATTTTCCATCTTGTTTGACTTTTGACTAACTTCTGAAAGTAATTATCATGTTGTCCGAAAAGAGTCACTCAATATCTCCCGTGTAGGTATAATTAATTCTATTTATAAATGGAGTGACTTCTAAAACTGAGATGAAAGGTGATTTTAGAGAAATCATAACATTTTTCTGAAATCTCCAAGACTGTTAAGTACATTTTAATTTGTTTTTTTAAAAAATATTTAAAATAACACGTTTCCTAGAAAAATACACCTTCAATACAGCTATTATGCATCATTGAACATTTTTCACGGAAAAACAGGAAGTCTTATGTCACGGGGACTTTCCCTGCGAAATGATTAATCAAATTAGTATGTGTAATCAAATAGTGCATGACGAGTGAAATTAGGGAATAATTTCACGCGCTTTATGTCCAAATCCTAATAATTTCCCGAGCCTTTAGGCGAGGGAAATTATTCCCTAATTTCACGAGTATACCATTTGATTACCTGTTAATATCATAGGTGACGAATTACGTTAGCAATCTTGGATTTTTGACATGTTTATCCTGGATCATATCGATTGAAAACTCCAATCTCTCGAACGTTTAGAGCTTAAATTTGGCTTAAGTTCAGAATTTTTCGACAAAATACCTGTTAGAATTCTTCTTGATGTGCTCTTTCGTGTGTTCAGGTTTTCTAAAGCGTCTTTTTATGCCCTGGCGTCTTCATTCATGATATTTTAAAACTTCGTCGCCATCTTGACACTGAGACGTACGGAAGGTTGCCATGTCAATTTTGCAATTTCACATGTGAAATTACAAATTATCACTGAAATTTCGCGCCAAAATTAAGGAGTAATTCGTCACTTATGATATTACATTGTTAAATCATTCCTACGCGCCGGAAAAACCTACTGTATTCATGCGCATTGAGAAAAGTTACATGACAAATACCCGATAACAAGTCCTCAAGATATATGTTAAATATATTAAAATAGAATACTAATATTCAATGACGTGTAATTTTAAAAATATAGAATTTTAAGAAGTAAAATATATATATACACTCGTTTTCAAAAAGGTTGACGTATAGGAAATACATATATCTTTTGTTTTCTCTTTTGTTTCGTTTCGTATTCACATATCAACAAAAAATGTAATCTGTGTCTATGGGAAAAATTTTTTATAATTTATAGGCCGAAAATGTGAACACTTAATCCGAACTGACATCGATCTGTAGACACTACAAGAAATTCTTGTTAAATACTTTGTTCACTTAATATAGAGTTCCCCGATCGTTCAGCGCTTTTGGCGTCCAAAAACATCTTGACAAATCACGTTACTGGGCATTGTTCCTTGTTATCATATTTGTATATCTTTGAATGTAACCGTAATTGTTGTCAGTTGCCTGCTGATTGCTTCGTGAGAAGCATGAAACTCAGAGTTGCAAATAAATGTGTTTGAATTAGTCCGACTCCAGAAATCTATATTATATTCACAGCTCTGGTTTTACCATTGAGCGCTTTTATAGTAGATGAAGTCTTCAGTTTATCTGCTGCTAGTCATATATATATGTTGTTGTTAATTTTTTATCTCCGGTAATTTTTGTTTTTCTTTTGTTTTTGGGTATGATAATGTATGCTAACGAAGTTGAAACAAAGGAAAAACAAAAATTACCTGAGATAAAAAATTAACTACAAATATATATACAGCTATTTCGAGAAAGGTTGTCGGGAAAAGTGCACGCGACAATCCTGAAGGGCATTGTGGGTGGTTTTGAGTTCTCTTTTTTTCAAAGAAATTTGAAAGAATTGGCACGAAAGGAAATGTTTTTGCGAGTGCTAAAGGAAAGCAACAAAAGTAGGTTCGACAGCTATAGTCGTCAGGAACAGTGTATTGATCATATCCCATATTGCCTTTCGGGATTGTCGCGTGCACATTTTTTGCGACAACCATTCTCGAAATAGCTGTATATACGATAAGAAAAAGATGAGAAAATAGAATACAACTGTCCCCCGACCCTGAGGGGGATAGTTGTTTTAGTATTACCAAATCAGTTAGATAAAAGCGCCACTTAGAAGGAACTTTATTAGAAACATTTCGGAGATTTTGTCAAGTGCAGTTTTACGCTTTTGTTGCAAATTCAGCATTACAATAATTTTCTACCTACCAGTAAACACCGACAAGCCAAAGTTCGTCGCTTTCTTGGTATTTGTTTGTGCGACTGCTTCATTTATCCCTCAAATTTTGTGTTTCGAAAATGTCTCGAAGCGAGACGCCGTCTTGGCTCCGGTCGCAAAACAGTGAATAGCCAAGGATATTCCGAGTTACGGGAGGCAATCAAACCACGCGAAAATTGCTATTTACTAATTTGGTTAATAATAATAGATATTATTAAAAACTGAATCATTGGATAATGCAATTCTTGCATTTTGATTGGCTTAGCCGTTATGGAATATGAGCTATTATACCATGTTCTCCACAAATGGTCGGTGTACGCGTCAGTTTAAAATTGGAAGCTAGCTGAGATTTTCGCGAAGGATAGAACGGCGCCCGAAGCAAATTGTTTTAATTCATTTCTTAGAATACTAGAAATGCAATTTCATCGAAAGAAAAAAGACAGAAACAAACAAAAAAGCCACAAGAGCTTGTTTGAAAGTTTGTCGAAAAACACATGAAAACCATGAAACTAAAGTACCTTGACCAGCTACGAAAGAAGACAGGTGCTGTTTCTTCATGATCGCGAAGCCATTCGCCGATCGGGTCACTCGCCGATAGATAACTGCGGCTTGTTTATCCGACATCAAGAATATAAATCACAAGTAACCAGCTACAAATACATGCTATGCAGCCATTCACTAGAGCAATCGAGGCGGAAGTATAGCTTCTTTTCTCGTTCAGCAAAACCACTTTGTGGCTTCAAACAACTTCATAACAAGCGACCGAGGTAATAGTTTTTCTCGTTGTTCTTACTTTTATAACTGCACCGAAAATCCAAACTCACAGTAATTTCGACGGCTGTGACTTAAAAATTCTTTTCCTTCACATTATCTGCCCGGTTTTTTTAGCTGCTCTGCTGTGTAAAACCTAAAAGCCCGATGAGTTTTTGAAAAACTAATGTTCATCGCTACAATGTTTTGATTTTTCATTCATGCAGTCCAGGCGAGTCCGTTCGCGCGTTGACAGTTTTGATAGACGTGTGACATGTGAATAGCTGAAGTCCCTTGTCTTTTCCGGTTTGTTGTAGTCGGGGAGCTTCAACGAGATTTTGTGGGCGTTTTTAATAAAACAATTATTCCACTCGCGCTTGTTGGATATGAGATGATTATAGTCAACTCGGCGCTACGCGCCTCGTTGGCTATCTATCATCTCATATTCAACGCGCCCTCGTGGAATAATTGTTGAATATTTAAAAAGGATGGCTCGTACCGTGATAATATGAACTAAATAGTGACACACACAGACTCCATCCCACGGCCTTAAGCTATTGTTGGACCGTGTTGGCTGACCTGAGGAAACTTTTTAAGTGAAGATAATCAATACTAAAGCCAGGAAAAAGTGTAAATAAAAGAATACCAGCTCCAGCGCCAAGGATTCAGATGGAATGCCAGTTAAACGAATTGATTCAATTACGAAATATAAGAAAGAGTTCGGAATAGATGTTGTGGTTCAAGTTTATCCTTGGGGTTAATTTTACTTTCCATTGTTTTAAGCTAACTATCAGACATTACCATACCCAAAAACAATTATGGAACCACAACATACAAATGTAAATAGTGAAAGATAGAGTTACTAAATATGTGTAAACGGTAAAAAAGCCTTTCAGAAACAATCAAATGCAAGTAAAATAGTCTTATTTTAGCAGTAAAACTCAAACAAATTTAACTAAAAAACTCAGCATTAATGCACCTTTTCATTGTGTTATAACCGCTAATTATTTTCATTAAATGTAAGAGCTGAGGTGGAACAGGAGCTAGGTCATTATTGCGAATAATAACCTACCATTTCATAAATACATTGAACGAGCTTGGTTTCAAATAAAATGAAACTACTATGAGACTCCAACAAATATACGATTGCAAGTGTTAATGGGTAATGACCTCTTTACATTGCTATTACAACTTCGATTTCAGACCAGGATTTGCTTCCTGCGACCGGGACCCCACCCCCCACACACACACACCCCCCTAAATAACTTATCGAAATATATATTGCACTAGGCGAAACTTGATTGACAAAATAACGTAATTTGACGTCATTATGTCCAGTTGTGGAACTTATGGCAGAATCCGAATTTCCCTCAAAGTGGACAGAAAGTGAAAATTAAGAAGTGGGCTAAACAATGAATAATCTTTAACAAAAGCAGTGATATCATGATTACACCATTTATTGCTCAAAAGTAACCGGGATCATCTGCCATCTTAGATCCGCCATTTTGAGTTAATTAAATGTGTTTTTAAACACATTTAATTAACTCTTAAAAGGGAGGATTAAGGAAGCAAAAAAAGTCTTTGAACTTATCAATTGAAAAACGATATCAAACTCATCTCCTATTGGTATTATATCCTTTTTCGTGTGCAATTTACGAGTTAGCAAAGGGATCTAACCTGAAGTATACTCTCTTGTTAGGAATATGTCCAGACTTGCCGGCTCCGCTATTGCCCAGGGACCAAATGTTGGCCGAATCGATCGGTGGTCACAGTGGAAACCAACGGATGAAAGCACACTTTGGTTATTGCTATCAGGTGCCACGAATCCACCAGAAGGGATTGAAATTTCGAAACGAAGACCAAGAGATGCCCCTGAAGATGGAAATGGCGCATTTCTTGCTGGTGTTACTCGTGATTTAGTCAACATGGAGGATTTGGTTAGATCAAAGCTGTATAACACAGTTAAAGATCTCTATCTAACCAAAGACAGAGCCATTGAGCATATTACTAAGTTTTTTAAAATCTGCAAGGATAAGGAAGCCTCACCTATGTTGTACTACACTGGGCATGGCGAGACTGGTACTGGCAACTGGTGTTTTGCTAATGGGACAATTAGTATCGAAGATATTTCGGACCTGGTGCCTGTAGGATGTTTCTACCCAACAATATTCAGTGACGCTTGTTATAGTGGTCACTGGGCAAATTTTTGTCTCAACAACGAAATTGAAGGTTTTGAATGTCTTGCAGCCTGTCCGGAATACTCAAATGCCTTTGATACGGCAGGTGTGTTCATTGTTCATAATTTCACTTCTTAAGGGGACCAAAATGGGTTTAATCCGACTGTCCCGAAAGTTAACTATTTTGGAGCTGTTTTGCAAAACTGCAAATGTAGAATGTGCGTATTAGTTATTGTTATTATTAATTTTTTTGCTCTACGTCTCAAAGTTCTTCAATCAGGGAATATTTTCATAAATTTTATAAACTTCTTTAATTTTCTCTTGTAAGCTTGCTAATTATTTGGTCTTTTACTGTAAGTGATTAATTCATAAGGCGGGTGCCCTTGTGTGATCCTTTTTGTGGCATCCAAGATCATGCGATAATTATATTCCACTGATGGGTAATTTGGAAGCGAGTATACTGTTCTTATCACTTTTGCTTTGGAATAGAGACCAAAAACGTCTTTGTTAAAGTAATTATTAAGGTAGGCTGTATTTTATTGAAAATTCTATCGAGTATTTATCTTTTTGAATCTTTTACCTGAATTCCCGTACACATCCTTTATGTTCTCGGCCAAAACCACATGTATTAATGATTAAACTCTCATACTGAGCTTGGGCCGGCTGCGCATATACGTGCATACAACTCAGTTTACAGTTATGAAAGGAGAATAGTCCTATAGAAAGGGAATTAAGTTTCCCCTTAAATCTTTGCATAGATAAATGGTAAGTACTAATTTGGTACTTAAAAAGACGATTATTCACCTAACTGTCGGTGAGAGTGGATGATATTTATGTTATTGCACGGCTGTTGGTTATTGGCATGGGTTAGGCAAAACATAAGGGCCGAGTTGTTCAAAGCTAGGTTAAGGTAACCCAGGGTTAGTGCGAGACTTTAATTCAGATTTGTAAGATTAAAAATCATATCAGTTTTAAATTTTTTTTGTCTACAAGCTGATGATTAGAAGCTCTAACAATAACAGAGAAAATTATCCGAGAAAATGCTTTAGAACACAAGAGAAAGAAACCCAGGTTAAATTTAACCCCGGGTTAAACCCTAATCGGCCTTCGAACAACTGGGCCCAGGGTGTTTTCAAAGAATAGAATATATTGCAACTTGATACCCGAATAGTCCGTTTTTCCTATTTCAGCCGTCTCTTTTCTGTAAGGGTTTCTGGCTAAAATGCGGGAAAGAAAAAAAAAAGGTTGTCTATAGTGGAAAGTGCGCTTAGCTTATCCAGGTAGTTTACAGGCACTCCATTCCAATAATTCTGAAACAAATAATGCAAATAGAACATTAAAAAAGATTCTAGGGTGAGGGATGGGATAGTATTCCTCCCTGTACATCGGAATGTTGAATATTGAATTTGCCATTTTTTTTTTCATTTTTTGCCATTTTTAGGTGAAGGTGGGGATTTGACTCTGTTTATGACTGGAAAGAAACCACGCCCAGATACGGAACCAATGTACAGTGGAGGAAATTTGCACGAATACCCAATCAGCGATGGATACGACTTAATTGAGTATACTGATTTCATCCGCAGTTATACTATCAACTCACAAAGAATTCTCATTACTCAGAGCATGCATAATGGCTACTTCTCTGCATGTTTTGTAACTTCTACACTTTACAGTCCAAGACCTGCGGTCACTTGGTGGATTCGTAGAGACTTAAGCTCCTTTCTTGCTTATGTGAAAAAACAATGGAAAAAGTCGATGAGAATATATTCCCTTGCATGCGATAAAAAATTTGGTTTTGGAGTATTCCTTATGGAAAACTACGGTACAAATCAAATAATTGCGACAAAAAAACGTGACATTAAGAATTTGTGGGCCGATGGTTTTAAAGTTACTGCCTGTACTGCTCAGGGGTCAGCTTTCTATGTCATTATGACACAAGGCACCGAGGAATATGAAGGCAAACACCAAATATATTTTTCCCGCGAGACATGGCCTGAGGTTGACACCAAAATAGAGGAAGGTTACGAAAACGGAAAAGTTGTCACAGGTATATGTTACTTGACTGAGCTGGAGAAGTATTTTGTTGTGATGACAGAGATGTCACATGACCAGTGTTACTTCTGGCAAAAAAACTGCACCAAAGAAGCACACGTCGAAAGAGAAAATTGGGTGAAAGAAAAAGAGAATATGGGATACTATCTTTCCATCGTCTTTACTGATCCCACTGACGACAACATTTTGTTTGTGATGACGGAGGACAAAAGTGTAAAATCTTCGAAATCTCATGCGCTTTATAGAATGAAAACTTAATTTATCGCCCAATCTTTATCTGGGTGAGCTGTATATTACGTCTTGGGTGTGGAAAGAAATACTTCCTATATCCTGTTGTAGACTATGCGCTCGTTAGTCGTTACTGAGCCCACCCCCCTGAACGTTTAGGTTTCCAAGACGTTCTTTAATATTTAGTTGGCATTCTCATTTTTTTTTCGTTCTTAAAGTCGATTTAAAAAATTAGTGAATCTCTCCAAAATGTTTTTGCCTTATCACTGCGGTGTGTATGTGGCTGTCTTCTAATAAGCGTGATCTTGAAAGTTGCGATGATATTTGCAAGTTTTTTTTCTCCTTCTTTATAGGAGACCACCCAGCGGCCAAGGCCAGCCAATAGGGATTCCGAGGAAGTATTTCCTTTTGTCTTAATAAAAACTAAAACTTAACTCTACGTAAATTAATACATATAAAAGACTGGGAGTAGAAAAAAAATCAAAACAAACAAAAAATCCAAGAATACTAACTTATGTTAGGACGGTGCTTCAACTAGATGTCGTAGATTTTCGGTTCTTTGATGCAGATAATTTTGATACATCCATAGTTAGAGAAAAGATGCGCCAATAACCAAAAAACGTGTTTTTACTTTTATTAGCATTAACCACAATCTGAGAGAGAGACAGGGAGAGAGAGAAAGAGAGAAATGATGTCAATATTGTTATTATAATTGTAAGAATTGACTTTGGTTAAAGAACGCATGCAATGAAAACACAATTTTGAACGTGATTAATGGAATGATTCGAAAAATTGTAGATAAATTGTATTTTTTGATTGGAGACAACTCTGCTCGGTTAAGCTTTACAGTATTGTAGCTAATAAAATAAAGTATTTTGTATTTTAAGGTTAAAAAATTGTAAATTTTTCTAGGATTATATTAACGAAAGAAGTTGTAACAAGACTCACTGGGTTGCTGTAAATGGACGGACTGTCAGTCTTATCCTATGTTTTTAATTGTAAGGAGCCGTTAATTGTACGGAGGGAAATTTGCGTTTCAAAATCGATTGGGCTAGCTTGTAGTGGGAAGGAAATTTACCATTTTTGCTTTGTTTTACTTTGTATTTGAGGGCAAATTCCATGTACAAGCCCCCCGGGGGGCTTATATTCGGAGGGGCGATTTAACGGAGGGTTTTTTGCGTTACAATTTTGAGGGGCTTATATTTGGAGGGGCTTATACATGGAGGGGCTTATTTTCGGAATTTTTCGGTACCTCAAAGCGGACCAGAACATTCGCACAGGAACCTGGCGATAGCCAGGTTTCTGGTCACTGCGGTGAGAAAAAACATAGGGGGCTCGCTGTCCTGGTTGGCCTCATTGTCAAGCTCAGTCCCTGAGCTAACTCTCCATCGGTTTGGAAGGGGCCTCCATGTCAATCCCTAGGGGGCGGAGGGTGCTGCAAAAGCGTGGTACTGTCCGTTAGTCTTTCTCTGGGAGAGTCAGTGCACTCGTCATGTCTGCCTTTAGTTTGTCATGTCAAATTCTTTTAATGTTTGAGGCCCATTGACCAATGAAAGCATTCTCGTCAAGCAAGTGCTAGGCTGGGGGGTGGGAGTCTCAAGCATCCTCTGTCATTTAGAGCCTTCAAGAAGCTAGAGTGTATGGCCAAGTCCAGAGTGTCGTTTTGATGGACTTGATTGTTTCTTTTGCTGATCAGGGACCGAGAAGAGAGTCACCTTAAGAGAACCATGGGCTAGAGCTGAGTTCCTCGACAATATTTACTTTAGTTGAGTCTGTTTAAACTGTGTGGCCTCCGGGAGCCCGCTGGTGCGGTTTTCATAAATCAGGCTAGATATCCATCCAAGTAATTTTGGTAGTTACGTACGGTACGTGACTACCAAAATTACTTAAATAGATATATAACCAAATTTCTTAGTGGTGGGCCTACGCTATTAACGATTGTACATACAGCTATTTCGGGAAAGGTTGTCGGAAAAATGTGCACGCGACAATCCCGAAAGTTAATATGGGCTACGATCAATTCACTCTTCCTGGCACTGTAGCTGTCGAACCTACTTTTGTTACTTTCCTTTAGCATCCGCAAACATATATTCATAGCCTCTCGTGCCATTCTCTCAATGAGTCTTTGAAGAACAGTGAACTCAAAATCACCCACACTAACTTTCGGGATTGTGGCGTGCACTTTTTCCGACAACCTTTCTCGAAATAGCTGTTAAAAAGAAAGGTATATTCTCCACCAGAGGTCACCAGTGCCCTGCGTTTCAGTGACCACGTGACCAAAAGAAACGGGAGGCTCTGGGTGCGAAAATTCTTCGCTAATGTCGACGCCATTAATCCGCCATTAAAGAAATCCAGTCAGCAGTGACTCAGCGAGTTTACGCGTGGTACGTTCCTCTAGTTTTGAAAGAGAGTCCTGATATTGTCCTCTATTTCCTACAGAATTAGATAGCAGGTGAGTGCCATTTTCGAAATTGCGCTTTGGGTATGCAGTTCATGTTAAGTAGTAGAAATATCTTCGCTCGCATGATGTAGGATTTCTGTTTTGAACTTTATATTTTCAAACTCAAGGTGAAATAGTAGACCATGTCATACGTTAGGTCGCTTTCTTATGCTTTACAGCAATCGGTGTTAACGTATTGAGATCAACTACCTGCGAACTGAAAACAGACTATCTTGAGGCAACTGTTTTCCTTCTTCAGCAATATCATAAAATATGCAGTATCAGCGAATGTAAAACCCGATTGATTTTCAACGAACCGAGGTGTTAAACTGAACATTTTCCACATCTACCCACTTCTGTGCCGGATCTTCAAGACAATCAACTCGACTGAACAAATTGCCAGTTCGCTCATCGAGGAATACTAAATTAAAACATACATAGCAAAAAGATTGCATCAGCATGAGCAAGTGCAAATTTTCAGCACACCGAAGCAAGTAAAAGATTTTAACACCTCCCAGTTCTCAGAACTTCAAGATGCTCAAAACGACTCAACTTTATTTATTTTAGTTTTACATGATTAGCTGCTACACTTAAATTACCCGCTCGCTAAACGAGGTATAAGTTTTTTCAACGAAATGTCTTTAATTTGTGAGTTGTGTTCCCGGGCTGTGTTATATCAATTGGTCCCGGTTAATCAAACGTATAGTGCTATCCACTGGATAAATCACTATCCAGCAGATAGGTTTTAGGGAAAGCAATTGCGTTATCAATCTGGACCCTGATAAGCTACGTATACAGCTACGATCAGCACCTAATAAAGAACAATCCCAGCAGTGTGATGCAACAATGAAAATCTGTGCTAAAAGATCCCGACCTCGTCGAATTACGGGAAAAATGCCTTATATTTCTCCCTTTCCTGCTCAATTCTTAGAATTACAATAACTGTTGAAATTTTCGTGCGCTCCTCTCTCCGGCGTTGTCGTGGGCATAGAGAATGAAATAATGGCGCGATGATTGCGCAAACAGGCAAACGTCTTCTGTTATGCGCGCTTGATTTTCCGAGAAACTTCACTAGGCGTTCAAAAATTACAGTCGAATGGGGTCTCCAGAGAATCGTTTAAAAATTTCCTTTTATTAATTTTCTGTGGCTCCGTTTTCAGGTAAAATTAGAATCGGTACAAAGTGAGTCTGTACAGTTCTATACGTTTTTAATCCATAATCGAAGTCTGATCGACAAAACCTCTTTAAAAACGGCGTCTTTAAAACCGAAGGTAAACACTGTCTTAATTTTTTAAGAGCTGTAAAATAAGACGCCGGTTATTTTAAGTCAAGTTGGGTACTTTATTTTTCCCTACAGGAATTTCCCATCTTGTTTGACTTTTGACAAACTTCTGAAAGTAATTATCATGTTGTCCGAAAAGAATATCTCCCGTCTAGATATAATTAATTCTATTTATAAAAGGAGTGACTTCTAAAACTGAGATGAAAGGTGATTTCAGAGAAATCATAACATTTTTCTGAAATCTCCAAGACTGTTAAGTACATTTTAATTGTTTTTTTTAAAAAAATGTTTAAAATAACACGTTTGCTAGAAAAATACACCTTCAATACAGCTATTATGCATCATTGAACATTTTTCGCGGAAAAACAGGAAGTCTTACGTCACGGGGACTTTCCCTGCGAAATGATTAATCAAATTTGTATGTGTAATCAAATGGTGACGAGTGAAATTAGGGAATAATTTCACGCGCGTTATGTCCAAATCCTTATAATTTCCCGAGCCTTTAGGCTCGGGAAATTATAAGGATTTGGACAAAACGCAAGTGAAATTATTCCCAAATTTCACGAGTATATCATTTGATTACCTATTAATATCATAGGTGACGAATTACGTTAGCAATCTTGGATTTTTAACATGTTTATCCTGGATCGTATCGATCGAGAACTCCACTCTCTCGAACGTTTAGAGCTTAAATTTGGCTTAAGTTCAGAATTTTTCGACAAAATACCTGTTAGAATCCTTCTTGATGTGCTCTTTCGTGTGTTCAGGTTTTCTAAAGCGTCTTTTTATGCCCTGGCATCTTCATTCATGACATTTTAAAACTTCGTCGCCATCTTGACACTGAGACGTACGGAAGGTTGCCATGTCAATTTTGTAATTTCACATGTGAAATTACAAATTATCACTGAATTTTCGCGCCAAAATTTAGGAGTAATTCGTCACCTATGATATCACCATTGTTAAATTATTCCTACGCGTCGGAAAAACCTACTGTATTCATGCCCATTGAGAAAAGTTACATGACAAATACCCGATAACAAGTCCTCAAGATATATGTTAAATATATTAAAATAGAATACTAATATTCAATGACGTGTAATTTTAAAAATATAGAATTTTAAGAAGTAAAATATATATATACACTCGTTTTCAAAAAGGTTGACGTATAGGAAATACATATATCTTTTGTTTTCTCTTTTGTTTCGTTTCGTATTCACATATCAACAAAAAATGTAATCTGTGTCTATGGGAAAAATGTTTTATAATTTGTAGGCCGGAGGTGTGAACACTTAATCCGAACTGACATCGATCTGTAGACACTCCAAGAAATTCTTGTTAAATGCTGTGTTCACTTAATATAGAGTTCCCCGATCGTTCAGCGCTTTTGGCGTCCAGTAACATCTTGACAAGTCACGTTAGTGGGCACTGTTCCCTGTTTTCACATTTGTATATCTTTGAATGTAACCGTAATTGTTGTCAGTTGCCTGATGATTGCTTCGTGAGAAGCTTGAAACTCAGAGTTGCAAATAAATGTGTTTGAATTACTCCGACTCCAGAATTCTATATTATATTCACAGCTCTGGTTTTACCATTGAGCGCTTTTATAGTAGATGAAGTCTTCAGTTTATCTGCTGCTAGTCATATATATATATATACAGCTGTATATACGATAAGAAAACGATGAGAAAATAGTATACAACTGTGCCTCGACCCTGGGGGGATAGTTGTTTTAATATTACCAAATCAGTTAGATAAAAGCGCCACTTAGAAGGAACTTTATTACAAACATTTGATCAATTTATGTTTCTAGGCAACCGAGCCCGGTTTCTCATAACCGTACCCGTTTCTTGAGATAGGGCACGACATTAATAAAACGGACCCGTTATCTTTCATACCCCCAAAACTTTGTGTCCAAGGAACCCGTTAACTAGTCAACAAACCCGTACCCGGTAAACAGACCACATTAACCTAACCCTTCATCTTTTCTAGAAACTGGACCCTGCTTTAATACCGAGCCCGTCATCAATTTTAAGTTCCGGACCCGCCTTATAACCGTCTCCCGATGTGATGATCCATCGGGCCCGGCTTCATTTCGTTAGTTAGTC